ACATACACTGTCTTACCTTGACACTTTTTTTACTAATAAGTGCAACCATACAAAAAGCCTAATGGTTACAAAGCGCATGAAAAAGGCCTAATCATTATAAAAACACTACTAGATTTGTTCACAAGAACATGTTAGCACCAAAAAGATTAATAGCGTAGAACATCGGCTAGTGGCTTCGCCTACTGAATGCAATCGAACTAGCTTCGTAACCCACTGTAACTGATTTTTTCAGGATCTCCTGGATTAGGCCTCGATAAAAAATATGGAACAGTATGTTCCAAATTTTTCATCGGGAACCACTCCAGTAGAAAATTTGCAGCGATATTTGCAGCATGAATTTACACAGACCGCTTTCTGCATGCTGCTCAAGAAATCATCGGAAACGGCAGTCATGCTAAAGTGGTGAGCTACGGGTGGCAAGCTTTAATATGATCCCTGCGCATTATAGACAAATAGCTTCGCTTCTTCCGGAGAGTGAAAAGCCGATAAAGTTTTTAGTGCTATGGTAAAACAGTAAGCAGTCGATCTTGTCGCTTTTAAAAAGAGCAAAGATGCATTTTTACTTATTTTTTTACTTCCCATGCTCCTTGCATAAGTAGTCTCAATAAATTCCATGATTTCTATTCGCATCACTCTCCTTTCCCCGCTTCACTAAATTTATAATTCTATTGGTCTGTGCAGTGTTAATAATGTTGAAAAAAATTTTCGAAGTATTTAAAACAAAAATACTAAAATTTGACCTTTCCATACATCACGAAGGCGTTGTTTGACTTTTTCCTCTTCTTCATTAAGAAGCAGACGCGGTACTTCCACTTGGTCTGAGCCATAATTCGCACCTGGCATCGCACGTCCATTTTCCAACTTAACCGTTTCAACATTTACCTTAAACAGTTTTCATTTTTATGCGTTTTTGCACCCTTATTCGTTTGCAAAAAGGTATATTGACGAAAGGTTACCGGTGAGCGTGTAGGCATTTGCATGTATGTGTGTGTGTGTGTATTCGCACTTTTGTCGCCCACTTTCAACTCAGCAACCAGGGATGTTGGAAAGTTGAAACTTTTTGGGCATATTTTCACCTCATGCACGATGCCTCAATTTCGAAATCATTGTTTACGTACGTCTAAGTTTCAAGTACAGATGCTTAAAAGACCAAGCAATTTTTCGACGGAAAAGTGATTTTGAAACCAAATAAGATAGACAAGACAGGAAGTTAAAATTTCAGAGCAGTGTTCTAAGTCCGGTTGTGAGCTAAGGATTTCAATTTCAGCTTAATCGCACACTTGCGTCGCATCTACGAAGACATCAAAGTTGAGACTGAGATACCAACGTTGGCAAAATGCCAAGTCGAGAATTAAGCTAACTAGAGCGCTCTGATTTTATGGGAACATTTGTTTCCCATACAAGGGCATATAAGCGCAAAATGAGCTTCGGCGTCTACCGGTGCCGCGTGCTTGAATGCGTCAGCGATATTTGTAACGAAAAGCGATTTCCCCAACCACTCATGCTAGGGAGCAGAAATTTTGTAAAGATATTCTGCGCCCACATACAACAGAAGTATTCGAAGCTGAACTTTAAAGCACATAAGTCGTGCTTGTGCGCATGTGAAAGTTTGGTTTGAGACACTGTTGGCACTCAATTAACTACTTGGCAATCGGGCTAAATAGGAAGCAGGATGTTTGCTATTCATGTACGAGGAGTTTTTGCCTAGAAATGAGCCCTGTGTGCAGGCATATTAAATTTTAGATTGCAACACCGCAGTCACACCCCAGCAGTATAGGCTATCTCTCTACATGATGAAATCAGCAAAAATACATGATCGAATTGGAAAGCATTGCTCGTCGTTACCTGAGATTGAGACAGACAATGGTGCTAGCAAAGGATTATGCAAGTTTAAACTTTGATAGCTTGAAAGTGCAACATAGTTGACAACGAGTGACTGAAAAACAAAAAATCCGAAACGACTGAAAAACAATTCAAATTTTTGAAGCTCGAAGCTGACACTTTCAGTTTGCT